GTTTGAGGTTAGCCATCGAGCTTTCTCTTTGGGAAAAGAGTTTAACCCTGAAGTAATTCGAAATCTGCATTTTAATGCAACTTTTCTAACTGAAGAATACAAGAAACTGGGTGGTTCCCCCCCCCCCCCCCCCGTTTGAGAAAGACATGTTTTCCTTGTGGAGATCTGTAATCTGAAAAACTATTTATATAAAGGAGCAACTGTTGGAAATAACCTAAATGTTATTTCAAAATTTAAAGGCCGATTAATGTAGTAGTGGCGATAGAAGAGCCGAGTTACGAGGTCCAAGGCAGAGCGGCAGGTGGGCCTGCGCGTGCGTGGCTGGCGGAGCGAGTGGATTCCAGGACCCCGCCGCCCGCACGGGAAGATTTTCGAAGGCGCCAAGTTTGGGTGGCGCGTCTGATTTACTGCGGGGTCTGAGTTATCCGAGCACTCCAGGGGCCGGTGGCACGCACAGTGCTGTGTTGTTAGAGTTGACCACGAAAGGAGGACGCAGTGAGCCGGGGCGCACAGGACTGAAGACGTTTCTTTTCTAGGTGCAAAGCCAAGGAAGCGCTGACCGAAACGCCCCGGGACATTGCGGGGTTCGGTTACCACTGCGGTGATCCCAAGTCCACACCTTTACGGGCTCCGCTGCACCGGCCTGTATAAGCCCTGGCTTCCAGCCTCAAGCCACCACATCTCTGCACCAGGAAGGAAGGAGGGCCCTGGAGGCAGGAGGCGGCTGTGCTGGCTCGCCGCGCAGCACGGCGCGGAACCCGACGGCGGGTCTGGCCGCTGTGCCTCCTTGGCCGCGGCCGCCCTTGCACGGGTCCGCGCGGGGAGCTGGGCCGAGACCGGCCGCAGCCCCCGACGCACGGACTTCCTGCCCGGCGTCTCCCCACGACTCGTCCCTAGAGGCTCGGGGGCGGCGAATGCCGCGGACCTAGCGGTGGGGTGCGGGCTCCGGGGAGCCGGGGGCTCCTCTAGCGCCGGCAAGGACGTCACTTGGAGCGAAAGACAATGTCAAGTGCAAGTGAAGAAAAAAAGGAGAGGAGTACGAAGTAAATGTACCCAGGGCGCGTTGGACACTTACAACGGACACTCAGTCGACGGAAACCATCAGTTGAGGGTCGGGGGTGAGAAAACCTGATTTTCTGTTTCCTGAACCGCCTCCCATTGCTCCAGAATTTAACCCCGAAGGAGCTTCGAGACACCGCCCGCACCGTAAATCCCTGGGACTCGCACCCCGCAGACCGGCGTCCCGTGCCGCCTCTCAGACGGGCGCCCCGAGGCTGGCGCTGGCCCGTCTTTCCCTCCGGGCCCGCCTGAGGTTCCCGGCCGAGCCCGACCTTGGCCGTTCTTCCGGCTGCGCCCGGGAGAGGCCTGGAGGCCTGGGCCCGGCGCCGCTTCGGGCAGCAGGGCTCCGGGTTGGCCGGGGACGCAGCCCGGGCGCGAGTGCGCGAACGGGACCGCGCCACTCCCGCCGCCGGGCGCAGGTGGAGGTGCTCTGCGGGCCGCTCACTTCGGGGCCGAAGGCGGGCCGGGCCCCCAGTTACCCGGGAAAGGTCTATTTTCGGGCCTCCCTCCCCCGCCCAGCGTGCGCTCTCCCCTCCTCCCCTCGGGTACAGTTTGTCTTTTTCGTTTTCTTTCCTCGACGCTTCTCGATTCCTCCATCCCTTTGCGGCACGCGCCCACCACCAACGCCGCGGGCGAATTGGAGGGCTCTATGTGCCTGCCCCGGGGGTGTCGCCGCGGGCCCCGGGGCCGTCTCCCCTACGGGCCGGGGACCGAGGGGGAGGCCGCCTTGCCGCCAGGAGCAGCGCGGGCGGGAGATGCGCGGAACGTCCAAGACGGGGAGGGGGCCGCGCCAGCGCCCGGGCCCTGCGTCCCTCCCCATCTGTCGGACCAAAGCTGCTGAAGCTGCAGAATTGCGCTGGCGCCCGTCCACCGGCTGCAAACAAAACCAAACAAAACGCGGCGAAAGGAAAAGCGAAATGGCGCTGCTGAAAATGGAGCCTCGGCCTCTAGGACGTCTTTCTTTCCTGTGTCTCTTACTTGGTCTACTTTGTGTTTCTAGTCCTTCAACGCCCCCCTCCTCGGCTCTCCTCCCTGTAATCTCTACCCCATCGCCCCTTTGCTTTTCTGATTAACAACCTCCTTCCCCCGCTTTTCCTTCTTTCCTTTCCCCTCTCGGTTCCTCCTTCTCCATTTTGTGTCACAGGCGCTTCTCTTCTCAGTTCCCTTTCTGGGCTCGCGCTCCCCCGCCCGTCTCACTTGACGTTTTCTGCGTGTCGGGGAGCGGGGGTGGTAGGGACGGTGAGGCTAGGTAGCGAGTGGGTTTGGTAGAGACAGGTTTTATTTAGAACCCAAACAGCTCCTTTAATTAGTCCTGCGCTCACCCTGCGCCCTCGTTCCCCGCGGCTCTGCGCCCGGACTCGCGCGGCGCCGTCCCACCAGCCAGGCGTCACCGCCCAGGAGGCGGCTCAGGGCTTACGCAGAAGTGAATACCTTTTTATATTTTTTAAGCTTAGAATATCGTTTTTGCAGTGATCGTGAGCGTGGCATACTTTGGATAGGTGGATCTCATTTTCCCAAGGGACTTCCAAAGACCATTTTAAGAGAAGCGTGCAGAGAAGACAGCAATATTAATCACTTTTTCTTGTTTTCTTTTGAGCAGAGGGAACCCCAAGCACTAAGATACTTATGTTTTTAAGGCCAGACTTTTTTGAAAATGATTTTTTCTTTTACACTCATAGTTGACTTTGATCCTTTAAAAAAAGAGGGTGAACTCTTTCAAAAGAGACCGATGCTTTTGAATACCTAACACCCCCCAATTGTGGTTCTCGGATAGTTTCTCTTGACGCATTATGATTTTGAGGTTCAAGGTCTCTAAGCGCTCTTCAGTGAAACAGTGGGAAATATGTTGCTACGTTAAAAGAGCAGAAGGTGATATTTCCTGATTGTGCTCTATCTTAGTAGTAGAGAGTGTCGGGGTTTGTTTTTGCTTTTTTGGGGGGGGGAGGCTAAGGGGGAGTTGGGCAGAATTTGCCTTGGTTCTGTTAAAGAACCAGCTGATAGAAGCTATTTCAAGTGAAGAGCTTCAGTCAATACAAATCTTAAAGCAGTGACATCATTTTCTGACCTGAGTTCGTCTTTTGGTCATGGTAGAAAGGTTAGTCTCTGTACAATATTTGAAAATAAACTGATTTTGCTTCCCAGTATATTTATTACCAACTACACTTCACTTTATTCCCAAATCTTCTGGCCAGTTTCACCTCCTCTAGAGGTCTGTCAGAACCATATCCTCCAGAAGAAAATACAAGTGCTCCTCCCGTATGTGATTCTAATGCTCTTGGAATTATTTGAAAAGATTTCAAACTTTTACAAGGAGAATCTTTTAAAAAAATGTGTCAGGTTAGTATTCTTTGAAAGAATCTTAGAATGGTTCTTTTTAAAAATTACCTTCCTTGGTTTTCATTTATTGCTTTGATTAAAGTTAGGTTATGTTCATATCTTACTTTCAGACTATTTCTTTATGAAAGAAAGGAGAAAGGAAGTAGGTCTTGCAAGAACTAAACCAATGGAACTAGGCCTTATTAAGAGCCTAAATCTGTGAATTGCTATCCTCATGATATGTTTATCAAATTGAGTTTTGCATGTGTTTTTCTCTGACTCAGATAGTTGACTTTATGTCTTTTAAAAATAGGTTTTAATCCAGGCTCCTGCTGCTTTGTTATGCTTTTCTCCTGGTAGATGAACAAATAAAATGAGTCTCACTGGAAGGGTAGGTAGATTTTCTTTTTTCCAGACAAGATTTCTAAAAATAGGCAAAGTTAGAAAGTTATTATTACCCTTCATTTTCATTGGAATGATTCAGTACTTAATACCAAGTTAATACTATTAAGATGTTATTTCCTGCTCAAAGGAGATAAATTAAGGCACAACTCAGTTTATTTTAGATGGACAACTTTGTATATAAGCAAGTGGGGCTAGAAAAAAGTATCATATATTTAGATATCTAGATATATAGTACTAGTAATGTTCAAAGCCCATCGAGGCAGTGTATTGGGGAGAAGGGTATAAATCAGACATGGTATCTGATGTTGAAGAGTTTAGTTTGTAAGGAGGGATTAATTCCTTCTTTATTTTTTCTCATTTAAAAACAAACATTCATATGGACAAAAATAAAATTAGATCCCTACCTTACTCTACACACAAATTAAATTTCAGATAGACCAAAAACCTAAATAAGAAAAACAAAACTTTAAAAATATTGGAAGGAAATACAGGAGAATATCTTTATGACCTTGGTGTAGGGAAGGATTTCTTAAAACATTAAAATGCACAATCCATAGAGGAAAGGATAAATTGAATTATGTTAAAATAAATCATATATATATGACAAAAGACATAAAAGGACAAATGGAGACAATATTTCCAAGACATGAACTTGACAAAGGATTAATATTAAGAATGTGTAAATAGCATATAAAGAATTCAATAATTTACACATGAATAATCATGTAAGTAAAGGATACGGATATACACATGTGAAGTAAAAGTATAGTGCTATTACCAGGAAGGATATATATTGACTTCAAAAGTGATTTCCTTTTGGAGAAAAGGAAGGAGGGGAATAGGAAGGAATCCAAAGGGGGTATCAATTCTTTATAAAAAGATCAGAGCCACCTATGGCAGGATGTTAACCTTTTTGTTATTTGTACTTTATCATAAGATTATTATAATTGGACTTCCCTGGTGGTGCAGTGGTTAAGAATCCGCCTGCCAATGCAGGGGACACGGGTTTGAGCCCTGGTCTGGGAAGATCCCACATGCCGCGTAGCAACTAAGCCCGTGTGCCACAACTACTGAGCCTGCGCTCTAGAACCCGCGAGTCACAACTACTGAAGCCCGTGCACCTATAGAGTCCGTGCTCCACAACAAGAGAAGCCACCGCAATGAGAGGCCTGCGCCCAGCAATGAAGAGTAGCCCCTGCTCGCTGCAACTAAAACAAAAAAAAAAGAAAGCCCGCGAGGAGCAACAAAGACCCAACGCAGACAAAAATAAGTAAGTAATAAATAAATGTATTAAAAAATATTGTTATAATTTATTTTAAAATCTTTGGAACTTCCCTGGTGGTGCAGTGGTTAAGAATCTGCCTGCCAATGCAGGGGGCATGGGTTCGATCCCTGGTCTGGGAAGATCCCACATGCTGCAGAGCAACTAAGCCCGTGTGCCACAGCTACTGAAGTAGAGCCTGGGCTAGAGCCTGGGCTCCGCAACAAGAGAAGCCACTGCAGTGAGAAGCCCGCGCACCACAACGAGGAGTAGCCCCCGCTCGTGCAACTAGAGAAAGCCTGTGCGTAGCGCAGCAGCAAAGACCCAACACAGCCAAAAATAAATAAATAAATTTATTTTAAAAAAAATCTCTAACATCAATTCCTAGTGCAAAAGACAAACAATGACACTTTTCTTTTTCTTAGTAATAATCTTTGTAGGATGGTGTTCACATATATGATGACAAAGTAAACACCATTCCTTAGTATTTTTCCTCTACTGTGTTTGTTATATGATGTTCACATCACAGAGATTTCCCTAGTTTGGTGTTTCTCTGTTGTAAGCTTATTTGTTTTCTGAGTACATTTAGTGAGAAGAGGGAAACATGTTTGAAACTATGAATAAGCATAAGAGCATTTATTCTTATATGATGTAATCATTAAAAATGGTTTTAAAAGGAAGTAAATTAAAAACCTTCCACACCATTATAGAAACACTTTTGAAAAATCAGTCTCAGGCCTAGCATGCAAGATGTTATTTTGGCACGTCTAATTTTTTTGGTGCAGATTGAGTATCAGGAATTGGTATTTTGGAAGTATATATGTGGTCTCATGTTCTCATTCTACATGGCAGGAGTTCATACAATGTATATTTCTACCATTGCTACTTTTCATTAACAGAAGTTTTGTTTGCTTGTAACTTTCCCAGGGACTATTCATATTATGGCAGCACTGAAATGATGTAATATTTCATTTGCTTTGAGGCTTTATGTTTGTTAGTATTAGGCCAACGAGCATGGGGAAGCAACATGGGTATTGTTTCGCTTACTCATGTGTGAGCTGAGTGAGGGGCGTTCCCACATTGTATGAACTCCTGCCATATGTGTTGGTGGGCGATGCCAATACAATCATGTCAGATGAAAGTGCCATGAGATGCATTACTCTTTGGGCACATATGGATCCTGCTAATTATGCCAAAGTAACCTTCTGGAAGTTCTAAAACTTTACTCAGAAACCTTTTATGACTCCCTAATGCCAACAGAATTACAGTCCAAGTCTCTTCTCTGGCATTAGAGGCCCCTGTACCCTCATTACACTTGCATTTCCAGCCTCATTTCCAAAGACAACTGAAAAAAACTGTCTTTTAGCTGCTAATCTGTATTATTTGTACTATGTTTATTAAAAAGAGGGGTCTATACTCACTTGTCTCTCTTTTCTTTCTTCCTGTATAGATTAGAATGTAATAGAAAACCCAGCTGAAACAGAAGGTTGTTTTTTTTATGTTGTCTTTTGTTGTTGTTTTTGTTTTTAACGTGACAAGAAGTCCGTAGGTAAAGAGTTGCTAATATTTTCTCAGGGGTTCAGTGATGTCACAGCTCTGAAATTCGCTTGACCTTTACCTCATGGTTGTAGAATGGCTGCTACACTTCAAGTATCACATCTTCACCATGGGTGCAAAGGTGGGAAGGCAGGCAGAAAGTTTATTCTTCATCAGCCTTAGCCTTGTAGAGGAGGTAAAATATTTTCCAAAAACACCCCACCAAAGGATTTCCTCTTACATCTCATCAGTCAGAATTTTGATATAGTTTAGGAACTGGGCCCGTGTTTCCACATCAAAGGGAATCTTCTCGATGCCTAAAGAAAACTGAAGTTCTGTATAGCAAGGAGGAAATGCGGGAGTGGTTTTTACTTAGTAAGCACTGCCACGTCTCCTAGTTTGCACCTCAGTATGCGCAAACCAGTTTGTCCCTGTCACTCTCTAGAAACATCTTTAACTGCTATCATCAGTGACTTTTGGACTTTTTAGTCTAATGGACACTTTATTTTCTAACTTGCTTGAGCTTCTTGTGGGGCTCACCCACACCCTCTTTGAAATTTATTCATCAACTATCCATTCTTCACTTACTATGTATCAGGCACTCTGCTAGGTGAGGAGAATATAGAACCAAATCAGGCATAGTCTTGGCCCTCCACAAGTTTATAGTCAAGCGGAGAAGACAGGTGAACAGGTAAGTGCAAAAATATTAGAGGTGCTGTGATAAAATGAGATAAAGTGGGGCACAGAGAAAAGAGCAGTCATTTATATAACTCAGGTGCTAGGCCCCTTTTCAGGGAAGGAAGGGGTGGTACGGCCATTAACAAAGACAGTCTTACTGTTGCTTTGTTGGTTGCCTCTTTGCCTTCTGCCCTAGAAAAATACAGACCTCTATAGAAAAGGGGAAGAAGATGAGGACCACGGGGCTGGTCTCTCCCCTTTCCTTGGCCTGACAAATACATGTGAAATTCTGAAGAATAGTCAACCAATTTTTTTTTTTAACTTCAGATTATCCAACTCATACAGAATCCACCCAGTGTAGGGGTTGTGGAGTGACTTCCTTGGTTTGTTTACTTCATCTTGTGTTCTCTTAAGGGTATCCGGTCTCACCCCTAAACCCTGGGTAGACCATGTCTCTACTCTCTTAGAGCCAGAGTCTGACCACTCAGGATGGCAGAAAGGACTTGTCTGGAGAGATGCAAGTTTGTCTGCTGGATTGAAGAGTAGGACTAGGGAAGAAGACAAGGCGTGATGAGAGAGATGAAGCTGGAGAGGTGGATACCAGTTTATGTCATGCTAGAGGGTTTGAAGACATTTGGTAGGTCATAGGTACCCAAACTTTCTCAGTTCACTGCACCCTTAGTGTCTCTCTAATTTTTTCATGATGCCCTAGGCCAAGAGAAATAACAGTTCCATTCATTGAGTAGTTCGTTCCAAATGCCATAATAGTGGTAGTTTGTGAGGTGTCTGATAGATGTTGCTGCGTTTCCCTCAAAAAAATTAAATAGCCTACAGCAAACCTGAGTTCACTGCGGTGCCCAAGGGTGACTTGTGCATAGTGTGGGAACCATGGTATAGGTTATTGAAACTTTTTCATTTAGTAAATTAAATATTCAGTTTTGTGTTTTCAAAAGATCACTCTTTCAGTGAATTGGAGGCTTGTATGGAGTAAAGGCACGATGGGAGGTAGGGAGTTAATGGCATCAGTTTACGGAAGCAGTGATTAGGCTGTAACGTGCGGCACACTAATGAGAATGCTGTTGGATCTAAGATACCATGTGGAGGTAGAATGGATAGGATTACCTTATCAATCGGTTTGGGGAGAGGGAAAGAGATAGGATGATTCCTAGATTGCAGGTTGGGTTAAAGGGTACATGATAATAGAAATGTAGGAAAAACATGTCTTGGGAGAAAGAGTTCCTTTTCTTGGCATGTTGAATTTGAGAGGTTTCTTAAGGACAAGATGGATATATGGTGTTGGACCTCAGGAGCAGATCTGGAAGAGAAATGTAAATTGATAAGTTGTTTATATAGAGATTGGGGTTGGCACCATGAGATTAGGGAGGAAGCATGCCAGTGTTTAGACAGTCAACGGAGGAAGAGGCTCCTGCAAAGGGGATAGGACCAGGAGAGGGGTCACGAAGCTTGTACAAGCCAGTGTGTTTGGATGAAGCCAGGACTCTACTCTTACCATTCTGTTCTATGGACGTCTGGGTCTAACTGTTTCCTGTGGTGGGATCCCCTGGGTAGAGCTTCATAGGGGCAGCATCACAAAGAACTCTGACTGATCTTTGTGCTGCAGTGGAGACGGTGGAGTTGGGAGGGTGAGGGGCTCGGGAGAGGTGAATGGCACACATCCAAGGAGGGTTCTCTGCAGCACCAACTCAGCCTTATGTCCAAGGAGCTGCCCATTCTGGGCCCCCAGGAGAGGAGCACCATTTTTATGCCCACATTTTAAGAAAAAATAAGGTAATGGTCTGTTTACAGTATCAAATACAATACAGTGATAAAGTAAGAAGGAGTGGTGAAAGTCCATGGAGTCTGACAATTTGGAGGGTCTTGGTGACTTATTGAAATACTTTTCTGCAGTAAAGGGAGGCAGAAACCCAAGGAGCTCAGGGAACAGCAAGGGAGACAGTCATGTAAACAGATAATAACAATGTAATGTGATAAGATACAAGGTTTCCTATCAGGTAGGGTAGCTTTCTCCTGCCTCTATCATTCACTAACCACTTCTTATCAGTGCCTGTCACTGGCAGGCTGATCTCTGACGGCTCTGAAACATCTGTTCCCTGGGTTCCGTTCTAGTTCCTCTCTTCTCTGCTTGCTCTTCCCCAGCAATTTCCTCCCATCTTAGGACTTAAACCAGCACCACCAGACACTTGATTTCTCAATCTATATCTCTAATTCCCTGACTTTCTGACCTTGAGTTCTGCATTTCCAGAAACGTGCATGGGACTGGGCATGTGCAAGGTTTTCAGTCACTGTGTACTGATTTAAAATTTGATCCTAAATAAACTGATAATACAGAGGTAGATTTAGATATCAAGCCACTGCATTTTACAGAGTGAGTAGGTAAGGAAATGTTTCCTGCCAGATTTGTCATCAAATTTCAGTAATTAACCGGAAACCAGGTGACAGTTTCAACATGGGAGTTGGGTTAGACCCCGCTAGTCACAGTGAACAGTAGATTAGAATACACAGATTTGCAAATCAGAGTGCAGGTTCCACTGCTAACTTTGGGCAATTTTGCTAATTCTCTGTGCCTTCATTTCTACACTAGTAAACAATTCAAAGGCACAGTTATGTTTCCTGTTTTTATTTATTTTAATTGAGATATAATTCGCATACCATAAAATTCACTCCTTTAAAGTGTACAACTAAGGGTATTTACAGAGTGTGCAACCATCATCACTATCTAATCCCAGAATATTTTAATCATTCCTCAGAGAAACCCCATGCCCATTAGCAGTCAT